GTTATTTAAACTTCAAGTTTGAAGACGTCTATCAGGTAACTTTTACTTAGATGAACACACATTACAACTTAATCCAGCGACTCAATGGTCAGAATCACTTTGTACACCGTGATAAACAGTACCACCGGAAAGTACTGCTCAGTAGCTGTCATTTAAATCGTCACACCGCGTACATGACACGATCAAATGTTAGTCTAGTAGTTACAGATAAAGTATTGTTATTACTTGATAATTATTTTCTGCCTATTCAAAGTTGCTGAATTGATGAAAACTTCAAGGAAAGCTATCAATTTGGAAACTATGTTTTCTCTCGTAGACACAGACAGTCCAACCCGGAACGTCTACGACAACGGAGACACCTGGGCCATCTGTGGTAATTTATCTTTTTTCCATCTTAATGCATATTTATGATGGATATGGTTAAACTCAGCATCGACAGATAAAGTATAAGGCGAGGTCGCAAATTGTTTGTATTGCCTTCGATAACCACAGTACGGCATACCCTGGCTTGTTCTATTCCAAAGAATTCAGGGCTTGAAAACTAGTCCCGTTAAGCAGTCTGGGACGAGTTGTAATTCTGCTTTTGGGGAATCGAAGTAACTTTCCATGTCCACTTGTACGATGGGCAAGGACCCAGGCAGGTTGAATTCTAAACAAATAAAAAAGAAATCAAGATAACTGATGTAGCAACCTGGGGAAAATTTTTTAGAGTTTCTTGTTTCAGGAACAATTTGGAGTTCAGGTTTTTTCAAGTCCTGCTAAAGTACTTCAAATTATTCGTATCACAATTTTATTGTTCTCAAGATGCTTGTAAATTAACCGGCGCTAGAAAAAATTACCGCAATTACCAAAAGCTAGAAACAATTACCACAGAAGATATTCCATTTTGGTTATTATTTAGATACCAACGGTTATAAAAGTAAAGTTTCTATTGTATAGCAAAACATATATAAGCGCAGGGAGGTTTTGCTCTATAAACTTAAATTAAGTGGTGAACGTTAAAATTGTTAAGACGGAATCACCAGGAAATTGAGAACCCGAATAATTTAAACAATATTGCATTCGTTTTTACACTTTTCAAGGGCTATAGGTATTGTTAGTTATCTGCAATAACACCAAAGACAATTTCTCATGAGAGCGCGAGAAAACAAATGTCAAGTTTCCCCAAGAATTATGAAAACACAGGTAAAATTCTGAAAATTTCATGTGTAAGATGTCATTTTTTTGAAATTTGGCATTTATTTTCTTGGGCTCCAATAAGAAATTTTCTTTGGTGTTATTACAAATAACTAATAATTACATCTGTAGCCCTTGGAAAATCTAAAAAAAAGAATCCAATTTGCTTTAAATTATTCTGGTACAAGGTTTTTGTGCGCTGAAAATTGAAATTACTGAATTTCCTGATGGATTCTGTCTTAAGTTCTTTTTTGTTTGTTAGTTTGTTTTAACCGTCATTTATATTTTTATTGCAGCCCGGTGTAAATGCAGATGCCAGGAAGCAGGTCAGTTTGTTTTCCTGCGCTAGACTTCAGTTGTATGTTTTCCTGCGCTAGACGTCATTTGCATGTTTTCCCGCCCTTGCATGTTTCCCCGCGCTAGACTTCAGTTGCACGATTTCCAACGCTAAATATCCGTTGCATGTTTTCCTGTGCTAGACTACAGTTTCATGATTTTCCCGCGCTGCACATCAGTTGCATATTTTCCAGCGCTAGACAGATGAGTTTCCCTTTACTTCCCAATTTAGAAATATTAGTGAGTTTGCGAGACGACGAAGACAACAGGAAAGATATCGTTAGACAAATAGTTGGTCATTGTAAGGTTATCGTGACTTGCATTATGCTTCCTAAATAAATGTTTTTTAGCTGTTCGGTGGCTGTATTTTACCATTTTGCTGTTTTTAATCCTGTCAGGAAGGCAATTCAGTTGGTAGCGCTGCAATTGCTGGAATTATCATTGGCTCAATCATGTTCGTGCTTTTAATTTTCGTGGTACTGTGGTTGTTAAAAAAGAACGTACTTCCTTCCAGAACTTTCCACTATAAAAAGGTAATAGTTTAAATTTTCAGTTGATATTTCATTCGTACTGGGCTATTGAACAGTACGCCCTCATTTTGGACTAGTTACCAATTAGAGAGGAATTTGTTTGTCGAAGTTGTAACTTTACATGTAAAACATCTCACTTATTTAGCTGGACTACGCGAGAACAATACTTTTTAGGTTTCAGTTGGGTTATAATTTTATAACTAAAAATGGGAAACCATGTTAAACACTAAAACAAAAAAGTACAGTTCAGTACACACATTCTTAAATCTCACCCATAAAATCAAAAGTTGAAACCAACTCGCACAGCACAGTTTGAAAATACCATAGGAAAGCACCGTATGGCAGAGTTCATTTAGTACCTTACACTTAAGAAATTAATACACAGCCTCGGAAATTTTCTCAATGAGTTTTGTAGTAATCTTTGCAAGAGTGAAACTGGTTATTCCTAGCGGGTATTATACCTTCATCCTGTGTAATAATTTGCATCATTTTCCCCAGAGCGCTGACACTGTCCACTTCAGCAACGAGGCTTACAGTGGTACAAATAGTTCAGTGTCATTTGACAACGTGCTGTACGACAACTTTGAAGCTGAGCCAGTCCTTATGCAGCCACTGGATTTTCCAATCGATGACAAACAGCCCTTACCACAGGTGAATACGAATAAGCCTAATTTTAAGCATAGTTATTAGAGGAGACTGGTTATGAAAAGCGGCAAACATCAATGATAAAAACAACAGTGCTGCAGTTTATGTTGGAAGTACCGTGAAAGTGCACAATCCTTTGTTTTCTGTTGGCAAATTGTTACGGAATAAATCAATGCAACGTTTTTATTGGTCAATACAATCAAAATGATAGGAATTCTTTTGAACGTTGTGCACTTTCAGGTCCACAAAAACATGTAACAAAGGAGTCTGGCGGGTTTCATAACCATTCCACTCAATTAACTATGTTTTAAGGGAACTGTCAAACAACTATGAAGGGAGAGAAAAAATAAATTATTCCGAAATTTTCCTCGTCCTTTACGCCACTTAAAATGCTTTATTCGCATCTAGCATAGCTTGTTCCTAGCATCATTGTCGAGCGTTTTTAACATGAGCCTCTGGCTCGGAAGGTTGTCTAAACACTTCCCACGTTTTCGACATTAAATACATTACCCTAATTCTAACTCTAATTGGCACGTTTCTCTCCAATTGTTTGTTTTCCCGCGCTCAGCATTAGCGCCATTTTATCCCGCGCTCAGCGTTAGGGGTATGTCCTTAGCACCATATTTTTCCGCGCTCGGCATTAGCGCCGTGCATTCCCGCGCTCGGTAACAGTTGTACGTTTTCCTGCGCTCAGTAACAGTTGTATGTATTCCCGTGCTCAGTAACAGCTGTATGTATTCCCGCGCTCAGTAACAGTTGTATGTATTCTTGCGCTGGATAACAGGTGTATGTTTTCCAGCGCTCAGTAACAGTTTTATGTATTCTCGCGCTCAGTAGCAGTTGTATGTATTCCCGCGCTCGGTAAAAGTTGTATGTTTTCCAGCGCTCAGTAACAGTTGTATGTGTTCCCGCGCTCAGTAACAGTTGTATGTATTCCCGTACTCAGTAACAGTTGTATGTATTGCCGCGCTCAGTAACAGTTGTATGTTTCTCTGCGCTCGGTATCCGAGTTGTATGTATTCCCGCGCTTTTTCGTAGTTTTTAAGGCCACTCCGAGGATGGGTTGTGAAAGATGTTGTTATTTTTTAGGGCAATTCACCGGACCATCTGGACTATGATAATCCACTGTATCGTGACATGATGGGCCTTGACTCACTGCACCCTTCTGTCGACTCGTATTTCAGACAGGACACGAAACCGGTATGTGATTTGCTAACTCTTGCTTCAATACTAAATGTGCGTAAACAAGCGCAAACTAAATCTGCAAACCATACAGGGGGCACCCAACGAGAACATAGTTCAAAACCACTCAAGCATAACATTGTTAAACGTGTTTTAGCATTTAAACGGTAGATATAGGCATATTTTTATCCCCTAAAAATTTTCATCTGTTCCGATTTCCTAGCTAAAAGTCTATTGTTCCGAAAATCATAGGGATCAAAGCTTACCTTTTCGAAAATTTCAGCCAGAAAAAAGGCTCCCGAAAATTCTAGGTGACCTCTCAGGGTAAAAATAAGTTAAAAATGGACAATTATACCATCCTAGGAGAGACAGGCAAGCAAGACATTTTACAACAAATTCTAGATCTCAAATCGTCTTCCGAACAGATATTTTCCGAAAATTGACGGTGGGTGCCCCTGACCATACGAAAAATAAGTCCCGTATGGCTGCCATACGTGTCAAGAGATAGTGTCAGACAACGCATACGGCCTTGTTAGAAATTGCGCGCCAAACGAGGCAAATGCTGCCATGAACGCGTTTTCACTCCGTCAGAACAATTCAAAAGCGAAACGGTCATATGATAAAATGCCTATTGACTGAGTTGAGGGCCGGATGGGAATATATTTGGCTGTCGGTCAGGACGTACGGACCTGACGCAACCTAGCTAAATATTTTCCCGTACGGCCCTTCCCCTCAGTTAGTAAGTACATATTATTTTACCCTATATACCAGGTTACAAGTGAAGAAGGTATCAAAGAATTTGCTAACCCAATGTACGCGGATTTCTCAGAAGCCAAGAAACGGAATTTGAAGGTATGTTACGTCATTAATAAAGCCATTGCGGTTCACCAAGTGCCGCCTGGTTCGAGATAGGAATTTGACGAAAAGGTAAACAGAAAAAGAGAAGAGCCATTGCGCGTGCGCCACAACTGTTAGCTGCTACGATGACAAGGACAGAATAAGCGAATCCTTGTTTACAGTTTTTGCCTCATTAGCATAGGCTTCTCATTATCTGATGAAGCTAATAAAATGAAATTTCTGAATATTGAAAGAGCATAACAATTTCAGTTATCTCTGAAAATTTGAGCCCGATATACCAAATAGTTTTGGAGAAATTCGCTTTGAAAAACCCAAAAATTTACAAAGAATGTAGGAGTCCATTAACGTTCAGTTGCCACCCAGTAATTTAGTTTGCAGGTTTTAGTTGCTGCCTTTTTTGGTTAGTGATTACAAAGAGCTGAAACTTGCACAAACTCCATAAAATAACCAGCTCTTTTTAATTTTTGAACCTAAATGGTATAAACGGCTACATCTTCTATGGCTTCTGGTATGCTAATGATCAGAAATGTAAACAATGACGTCCCGATGAATCCGCTTATACCAGTAGGGTCACTGACGAGTCACATTATGCATTTGCACGGGCGTTTGATATTTTCGTTTTTTTTCCCATTATAATCAGCAGAGTCAAAACTTTTCAAGTAATTATATTTCCGGAAAACGTGACGACATGACTTCTTATTGAAATTCAAATTAAGTCACTGGACTAGCTAGTAACATAGATTAAATTAGTGTCGTTTTCTTTTAAAATTGTCAACGTATTTCCTCTTGATCTCTCAAAATGGACGGACAGAGCTTGCCTTTAATTGTCAGGATACTCCACCCCTTTCCTCTTTAATTCATGCCAAAAACCAATCATGTTGTCCGATGTTATTAGTTTATATCCAACTTTTTTTACCTTGTTTCTCTCTAGTTAAATCTCGACTCCAGCTATCATCCAGGTGGAGAAGATACATGTAAGTTATTCATGCACTTATCACAGCTTTATTCAATAATTCTCGCATAAAGTAGGAGCCCATAACAAACTATGGCTCTTCATTCGTGAATTGGTTAGTGTAACGGTTTCTAATGGTGTCCTACTATTTTTACAGTGTGTAATTTGATGTTTAATCTGATTTAATTGTTTTCTTTGCATTTCAGGCTAAGTTCAGTCTAGAGAGGGAGGTAGGACATGAAATAATATAATATAATTATTGTTTTGTGACTAACTCTGTTGTTAACATTTTTCTTGATCCAACTGTCAATTCGTAAACCTCTTAACTATTCAAAGTGACAAAATAACGGAATCATTTCGGCGAGGAGAAAGTCTAGGAAATACGATCGAAATAATTTGGATATCAGATGAAACATTCCCTCTCTCTTGATTGTAAACTTCTTAATGTTTGGATATCAAGTGAAACACTGTTTCTCGTGTTTGATACATTTCTTGTCGCTGATCGGATATGAGATAAGCGCTCCTGTTCTCGGTGTTTGTATATCCGATGACACTCTGCTTCTTTTGTTTAGTACACTATAGGAATATTTAGAGCTTCATTTTTTTCAAGGATTATCCTTGCCCATGAAATACTGTCTACTAATATGTGAACATTTTTTTTCCTCAGAGATCCTTGACAAGTGTCGAGAAAAGTGAGATGAGTTTGTATGAGGAAAAAATTTCTTCAGGTTGTCTTATTCCGAAGCTTAAAAAAGCTAAAAACGTGGAGTTGAAGTTTTGTTACACTTAAAGTCAGTTGCTTATCTAAAAGTCGAACAAGAAGTGTGACGCAGAATCATTACTTGCAATAGTCAATTGCGTGCAGCGTCGACTCTGGAAAATATGTTTTCTAAGCAGTGTAAATTACATACTTTAAAACTTTAATTGTTTACATTTTTTAGTTGCAAAAATTCAAGACCTGACTTTTTCCCGCTCTTAAATTAATGCTTTATAGAAAGTTTTCACTCACGTGGCCAACAGCTATGCAAATTAATTGGAACAATAGAAGGTTTTTAAGTAAGAAAAAGGTTCAAGTTTGGGACACCAATATGGCCGCCGTGACGTCATGTGAAAACGCTCTTTAAGTTAAAAGAAGTTTGCAGGATGTGGGAGAGCGGAGAACCCGGTAATCCTTCGGGCTTGAACTGGCAAACTGTCTTTAGGTGCACAGTTCCTAGCTCACAGACCAGGACATTTTGTTTAGTTAACTAACAGATTCAATTTTATTATGTTCAAAACTATTTTTTAAAAAGATCGCATTCTATGTTAGCGATAATACGATCGGCTAACAGAAGTTAAGTAGCCTTAACCACAAGTAGTGAACCTTCCTGTTGGCAATACGCCTGTTTGTTAAACACTGTTGTCTTGTTAATACCGTAGAATAAACACTTGCCGTATAAGTACACAAGATATAAACAAATGCTGCCTCGAAATTCATACGTGCTCTTTCAGTGCAAATGAGATTAAGGCTACGTGCAAACGGACGCAACATTGTCGACCAACAACTCCCAATCTCCTTTCATTTTTACTTAAACATATGTACTTAAGATTGGAACCATTTTTGGAGCTCACACTGCGCCTCTTAAGGTCACGTGACCAGCCACGCTTATAATTATGCAAAATTTAGCTTTTGCAGACTTCACCATGAAAATGACTGTAGAAGCTCCCGTATATTTTTCCATAGTGTTAGGTTTAAAGGCAAATAAGTCAAATTAAACGGGGCATTGCAAAATATTTTATTCCTATGCAATTATCAAATGTTTTCTCCTCGACCCAGTCCCACCCTCAACTGGAGACGTTATAGTTCACTTCGCCCCACTGGACGAAGGCCCGACCTGAAAGCCTAGGGAGCGAGGCGAAGACCCGGTTTTACTTCTGAAATAATGAGAGCGAGGTCTATCATATGGGGTAGGAGTGTGTTCGACTTGCGGCCTTTTTCTCGAAAGTCCCGATAACTTCCGAGCCCGAAGCTTTATATAAAAATCAAAATACCAAAAAAAGTTAAAGAAATACATCATTGAGAATGAGAATAAGCTCATTGTCGCTTGCAACAATTCATTATTATTTTAATAGTCTTATAAGGGAAAATGCTACCCCGAAAAAGCAGATGAAAGTTAATCATTTATGGTTATTGTATGAATAGATGGAAAAAGCGAGGGTCGTAGGGACAGATCATTTTTTAACAGTTTGGGGGGGTGCTGGTGGGATTTTAGGGGGGAATGCCTAAAAATATAGTTTGAAAGGGGAGCAGACAAAAAAATATTGGGTATAAAGGCGAAGGGGGGTCACCAAACGAATTCTTTCAAGTTTTGCAGTGACGGCTTCTGTGATAAGGCAGACAATCTACCAGAATGCCAAAAACCAGCATTTCTGATGTTCAAAAAGTTCAGATTTCCCCCGGGAAGCATACTCCCGGACCCTCTACTTTTTAAATATTATGCACAAAAAAGCAATTTTACCCCACTAAAATGTAAAAACATTAAATCATACGAACTCAAACGTATCATTGCGAAAAAAATAATCTCTCCTTCCACAATTAAAAAAAAAAATTGGAATGTCTCTTGCCGTTGATGGAACTTAAGCTATCACCACGTAACTACTGTAGCAGTTTTATTTGGTTACTTCAGGTAACGTGCGTAGTGTTACCTACAGTATAACGTAGCAATGATGTTTGAGTAGTGTAGGGGGTGTCGTATTCTAAGTCTGTTGGTTACGTTTGATAGCGTTTGCCTAGTGCTGTGTATTGTTTAGCAAGTAATGATGTTTTGAGACTATCGTAGTATTAAAGTGATTTGCCGGTCCTTCAATCCCCGGGAAAGACACAGGCCGTTTCAAAGTAATAGAGCTAAAAAAATCTGGTATTAGGGGTCACTGTTCCGCCCATTATCATACATTTGCGCACCATAACTTTACAAACAACATGGCGGTCCTCACTTGGTATACCATCCAATACAGTAAATATGTATATGAAAACTAAGTTTTCTAGCTTTTGAAGCTTCTCTCGAAGTTCTCATTCTTTAAAATAGACCCTTTGAATGAATGATTTATTTAATGTCGAGGACGTGGGAAGTGTTTGCACAATCTTCCGAGCCAGAGGCTCATGTTAAAAACGCTCGACAAACTTAAAAATACAAAACAAGATAAAATGTGAATTATGCATATACAAATATTAAGAAAAACCTAAAAACATCGTAATTTGGGGAAATTTTTTTAAGAAACTATTTTCTGGGAAAAAAAACCTAAAAAAAAAACTAAGAACATTGCAACGTCAGCTATACAGACCATGTCTGGTCTCTGCATGTGGCTATTGATTTAATTTTAATTTTAATGTTAATGTTTCTTTTGGAAGGGCGGGGGGGGGTCATCTCAATTATTTTGGGATACAAATGGGGCCATCCAAAAAAAGTTCCGATGAAGAAGAGGGTCATCATATTCTACAGTAGCCTGCGAAGCGCGACGACCGGAAATACGTCTGCGCTTCGCAGGCTAATTCTACAGGAGCTACTCGTCAAATCCCACCAGCCCCCTTTCCCCTCCCACCCCATGAACGGACCCCTACCTAAAAATTACCAACCCATTTTGATAGTTTTATCTGCAAAGCCATTGAAATTTCGAACTCACAGCTTCTCCGTCCCGTTAAAATACAGAAGCCATAGTATGACATCTTAAATTCTACAAGCAGAATACTGTAATGCTGATCGTACTTCGTGAAAATTTACTTTGCAAGATATCAACACGACACCGAAAGAGCCCAAAATAGAGCGAGGTTGTAGGCGAAGACAGCTGTTTCGCCATTATTGTGGCTCATTAGTACGGCGCAACAAACAGAGAAGATGTGCTGAAAATTACCCGCTCACTCTGTTTATGAGCCCTGACAAACCCCAACACTCACAGAACCACGCCTTAGAATACCGGTACTCTCCCTCGGCTAATTAGCCCCTGGCCTTCCGTAAAAGACCGTATTCCGCCGCAGCCCTCCCCCGTCACTCAAACACACACACACCCCTTCGCCTCCCCCGCCAACTTGCCCAGCCTTCTTTCACTTCGGAACGAGGTTGTCAAAATGACTGGTAAGGATTGCGCTGGTCTGCTAAGCGGCCGAGGTCGCGGGCTCAAACCCCGGCCGGACAACACTGAGGGTCTTTAAATAACTGAGAAGAAAGTGTTGCCTTTTTAATGACATCTGCAAACGGTTAGACTTTCTAGACTTCTCGGATGAAGACGAAAAGCCGTCCCGTTTCCCAGCTCTTACATTTATCTGCAGTTCTCGTCAGGTTGAAGTCTGGCAAAATAGGTTCTTTTATTTTGGGGTATTTTAATGGGCAAGTTAGGCTATAAGTAGGTTCTTAATTCTATGAAGGAGATAGAGTTGTTCCCCGTTGTTGACTACAAGAAATGGTAAAGAAACTTGAGATTGGTCCTTAATATACAATATCAAGAGAGGCCTTTATCCTCTCTTGACCAGATTTATTTACAACTGATAATACCGGTAATACGGGCCAGCAGGACAAGACAAACAAGACAAGACAAACTTCGTCAACAATACCGTAAAATCACGCTTCTCTGGCGATAAAACGGCTCCTTTGGCTGTCACCTTTCCCCGGAGGGGGGCGGGGGGGGGGTCTTTAGGACTTTTTGGGTGGGGATGTGCCGCTGGGAACCCATAGCCTATACCAGAGCTAGTTCAAGTGAATTTTGCCACCCTATACTAGACTAAAATCCCCAAATCCCCTCTATCCTAGAGTAGCTGTTTTCCAGAAACAACTGAGGTCAGTAACACAGTCCAGCCAAAACAAAACCGATTTGATGTTTTTATATATTCTTGAGTGGCAATTCCCGGTTTCCCTAGTCTAGACTAAAATAATGGAAAACGATACCCTCTTCTAGACCCAAACTCTCTGATTTATATACCCTATCCCAGAGTAAACTGCTTGAAAACCATACGCTTCACAGCGGCACATACCTATATAGCCCGTATATGGCAGTACCCCCGCCCGCCCCTCCGCTGCCCAGACAGAAAACTGCAGAGATAATGTTACAGGAAAGTTGTTCTAGAAAAGGAGCAAATTATTCTCGATATGGCACATATAAAGCTTCTTTCGTGGTTCCGCCTGAGGAGAACAATTGCGAGCAACGATCTTACACCAAAACAAAAGGTCTTTCAAGTAGCAAGAGCTGGAGATGCTGTACTCCTTGATAAGTTTCTTCAGAAGCTGGATTGTACAGAAAGACTTTCTGCAGTGAATGACCACACTTATAATCGCCGAAGGTTAGGCCGCACACCATTAATCATTGCTGCTGTCAATGGAAATCTTGATTGTGTCAAAGTGCTTCTAAAGTTTGGAGCAGACATTGGGGGTCGAGGAGATTTTACAAATGATTATACAGAGTGCCCACGTCCTCTTCCACACGAACAATGCACGCCTTTATTTTTTGCTGCTGGTGGTGGAAAAGTTGAGATATTGAGTTGCTTGCTTGAAAATGGAGCGGATATCAATGCAATGAAAAATATCCATGGATTTACCCCTTTGATGATGGCCGCTCGATATAACCACCTCGCTGCAGTAACATTTCTCATGGATCAAGGTGCTGATGCAAATTTACAAGACAAGAAAGGTTATACAGCCCTTCACTATGTTGCTATGTGTGGAAGTTCATGTAGTTTTAATGTCATAAATTGTTTAATCGATAATCGGGCTGATGTTAATATACAAAGTGCAGTTGACAACCTCACCCCATTGATGCTAGCTTGTAAATGTCGCAATGTCTATGTAGTAAACTAGTGGAGGAAATGTTGGTCTTCATGACAGATATGGTCAAACATGCCTTCAGTATACTGTGAAGCGTGCTGTTGATGAAACTGCATTTGAGATTTTGAGTTCCCTGATTAAAAATGGAAGCGATGTTAATTCAAGAATAGATAATGACGGCACCCTTCTGATGCTAGTGACCTGGCATGGTGACTTGAAAATGGTATCTTTCCTTATTGATCATGGAGCTAATGTAAACCTGCAAGATCAAAATGGTGACACAGCCCTACACTATGCTGAGCGTAGGTTTGTTTGTGCCACACCCAAAATTGTTTGTGCCCTTTTGACTGCCGGAGCGTCCCTTCTGTTTAACAATCAAGGATTGACACCCCTTCTGGCAACAAGTAATAGAGGCAATAGAAATGTGAGAATGGTGGAGTGTCTAATTAAAGGGGCTATGTCAGCTGGAGAGCATGCGCTCTGAGGTTATGTAAATTACTTTCAACTGTCAAAATTCTATTGTTTTTAACGCGTGACTTTCTCCATGTGCGCTCTGAGGTTATGCAAATTACTTTCAACTGTCAAAATTCTATTGTTTTGAATTAACGCGTGACTTTCTTCATGTTCTCTGTCACGTCCAAGGTTCCGAATTTAGAGAGGTTAACAAGCGAAATGGGTTTGGATAAGGGATATTTCGATAGAATTTATGGAACGTTTCTTCTCTGGTTATGCTAGATCAAGAATAAAATTGTGACGACAGTTTTACTTGTAGTTTTGAAGTAAAAACGCATGCCATTCATAAAATAGAGCGCAAACAAAAATTCAACAACAGCATATTGTCTTATTCAACAAAATAAAAGGAAGTTGTATTTTACAAACGAGCTACAAAAGACGCTAGACCGAAGATAAAGACCAAGACTGTTTCAAATCATTAACAATTAGACTTCTCTGTCGCTACTGATTTTATAATTTAGATGCTGATAGAACAAGAGACCAAGTCTTTGTTTTGATCTTAGGGAAACATACATTATC